TTTGAACTGTATAGCAACCGGAGCTGCTGCTACTGCTGCTGCTGCTACAGGCGAACCCCCTTCCCACTCTCTCCCCACCGACCTCCGTCCGCCTCCCGTTCCCTTCCACGGTCGAGCCACAAGAGAGGCCACGTAGTTTACACACATACACACACACACACACACCCCTCCCGCACCTTCTGGAGCACGCCGCCCTAGTCATCTCCTCCCTTTATGTCGGACCCAAAGCGCCTCAAGGAAATGGGGGTTCTCCCTCCACGCACCGCGGGCTTCCTGGATCCCCGAATCTATGCCCCCTCCTTCCCCTCGCCCCGCCTGCATGGCTGACACCTGTAGACCTCTGAGCTGTGTGTAAACTCCTGACAAACTCAATAAAAATAATAATAATAATAATAAAAGAATTAAACGGCGTGTCTCCTGGTGGGTGGCCCGCGGGGGGAAGAGGTCTGGAGCCACGGGGAACTCGTAGGGCGGGGCGGGGGGCTGGCTGGGTAAACCGATCTGAGACGTCGTGGCGAATTAGGGTTGCCCCGTTTAAAGGAGGGGAGGAGAGTCCCGAAAACCATGGAATCCGGAGCGCGGGGAGAGGCGCATCGGGCCAGGCAAATGGACCGAGACCTGGAGCCCTCGGGAGAGGCCCACAGCAAGAACGGCCCTCCAGGTTCAGGACGCCGCCGAGCGACCCTCGCACCTCGGCTCACGCCCCGGACAGGAGGCCAAGGCCCCCAGTTGGCCGTTTCCGATTTCCCGTCCCCCCCCCCCCACCCCGCCTGGCCTGGCCCCGAAGGCAGGAGACGAGAGCAACCCTGGGGGCCAGCTGGAGCCATCCTGGCTGGCATTTCCTGAAAGGAAAGGAATCCCCCCCCCTTTGAATGGCATCCAGGCTGGCAGGCGCCACCACCTCCCGTGCCAGGCGAGGCGATGCCCCTGTCTAATCACGCCCTGAGGGGAGAACGAGTTCCTTTGATGCAGGCCAGGCATGGTTAGACCGTGGAATGTGTTGTTGTGGGTTTTTCGGGCTTTTCGGCTCTTTGTTCTGAAGGTTGTTCTTCCTAACGTTTCGCCAGTCTCTGTGGCCATGGGCATCTTCGGAGGACAGCACTCTGTGCTCTGGTGGAATGTGTGTGTGAGCGCCGCCCCCACCTCAACCTCACCACTGTCCGGCTCCCGGGAGACCCCCCTCTCTTTGCGTTCCCCAAAGGCAGGGCTCGGGCGAAGGAGGAAGAAGCGCTTCTCGGCTCCTACCCTCTGGGCCACAGGCCTCATCTCCTCACCCCAAGAGTTGCAACGTTTCCTCGCGGGGCAGCGGCCCCCTCCGGCCCCTCACCCTGTGGGTCACCCTTGTTCGACTCTCGGGCGCAAGCTTCCCTTCCAGCGGAGGCCCCCACGCCCACCGCACGCGGTGAACCCGGCTTCACGACCGGTGGATACCGCCGTTGGAATTGCGGGTTCCCTCCGTCCACCCTGGTGCAATTTTCGCCCCGACCACTTAGTGTTTCTTGAGCCGTCGGACGAGAGAGACCCGCTGTGACCGTTTGAGCTGAACGGGGTGGAGGTGGGGGGCGGGGGGCGGCGGGCGGCTTTATTTAATGAGCCCACTGCCGACAAGCAAGCAATATTCGTAACCACCTGCCAGACGTCTCGAGTGTCGCCACCCCACCCACCCCCCAAATCCGTTCTGGGGTTCGTGCTGAAGAAGCCGGCTGGGACCCAAGCAGCCCTCCCGTTGCCCAAAGGGAATTCTCGCGGGTGGGACTTGAGTGCAATTTCACATACACGTGTATACGCACACGTGCGTGCGTGTCTCGCCTTCCCCAGTAGCTGGTGTCGAGAGCCCTCTTCCCTGACACCGCCCCACTGAGGGGCGCTGGATTCCTTTCGATCTCCTCTTAAGAATCTCTTGTTCGGCAGCCCTCGCTGCGTCCTGTGCCAGAGAGTTCCACCGGCTGCTCGAAGATGCTGCGGGGCAGGAAGGCCTTCCTTCCCTGCGCCCTGCATCGCCTCCATTTCGCTTCAGGTCCTAGGATCGCGCTAGCGAGAGAATAGCCTTGCTCCGCGTTTGCCATCGGCCTGGAGCCCCCGCCTGGCCTGCAGGGACTGGGTCTCCCTTTTTTAAAAACCCCTTTGAGCCGATCACGAGGAGACAAGGCTGCCGGGAAGAAAACGCGGCGTTAAGGTAGGTCGAGGGAGGCCGGAGAGATGGCTGGCTCCTTCAAGGAAGCCACAACTGTAAGTGTGCAGGATCTGAAGCCGCGCGGCTGGCGGCGGGACCTCCGGGGGTGGTGGTGGCATACAATCATTCCTAGGGGCGCCGTAGCTCAGAGAGGAGACCGGCCCTTGGCTGCTAGCAGGACAAGCTCGTCAGAAACAGGCCATATCAGGCCTCACACGTCCAACGATGTCTCCGAGCACAGACGAACGATTCGCCTCGGAGCAGCTCCTCCGGCCCCAAACCTCCCTTGGTAGTCGGAGCAATTCTTCGGAGTCGTCCTGGGAACGAACCGGCGGCGGTTGCAGCGGGACCTGAAAGCGGTCCCTGCCCCGCTGCGATGGGGGAGAGGGGGAAGCGGGACTCCTGCCCTCCGGGCGTCCTAGGCGGAGGCCCCGTTCCCACGTTCCCTAACAGTTCCCGCACGTGGCCACCAGATGGCGCGGTAGCTCCGCTCGCTGGGTACGTGGGTAAGGGGGTGGCTTTAGGTCTCCGGTCTCGCGCGTGGGGGGCACCCATGCCTTCTCCGCCCCCGCCCCCCCCACGCCCGCATTCTTTCGAGAAAGCGTTTGCACAAGACACGAAAAGGGAGGAACGGAGGGAGGAGCCGCGGGAAAGGGTACGTGGGTAAGGGGGTGGCTTTAGGTCTCCGGTCTCGCGCGTGGGGGGCCCCCATGCCTTCTCCGCCCCCGCCCCCCCCACGCCCGCATTCTTTCGAGAAAGCGTTTGCACAAGAC